CCCCCAAACCCCAAAACCCCAAAACCCCATTATTATTAAATATTTTAAAATTGGAAGTTATGAAATTAAAATATATATCAATAAAAATTATGTCTCAATTTTGATTATCTCCTGAAACTAGCTTTTGTATAATGGCGTATGCTACTGTTAGTAGACCAGTATAAATTTGATTCATGAGACTGTATGTAGCCTTTAAACCCATTAATCTCAATGGCTAATGCTCACCATCTGTTTATAATCTCTCACAAATGCAATCTATCTCTTCTATTATTTTTTTTATTTATTTTTTATGTTGTACTTGAGTCTTAATGTCTCTTTCTTAGATATATTTTCTCTGGAATAATTTTAAATATGCCCCTGTAAATTTTTTCCCAGCTCTAATGTCTTTAAGGTGAGACTTTATGAAAACGAATGTTTCCTTGATCTTTAAAAGTTGCATTCTATGTTCTATAAATTAATGATTTACTATTGAACCATAATAAAGCATCATTAAAATGACTCCAAGTACAACAAAAATATCATAGACTGCTAACGTATAGGTGATCAAGTGAAACTCAAAATGAATGATTTCAAAAAAGTTCAAAAGCAATATAATCACAAAGAAAAGGTAGGCTCCAAAGAAAGTGCTGCAATAAACAAATATTCTGTTCATGTACTTTCTACCAAAATCCATAGCACAAAGTCTAAGCTTGAACCATTGCTATATTTAATGCTTTTCAGTCATATTAACTGTAGGAAACACTTGATATTTTAGTTCAAGATTTTCTTTAAATGGGTTAATCAAAGATCCAACAGCCTTAATCAAAAATACTCTTCTTTAAAAGTCAACGAATCCGACAATAATGAAAAGATAGTTGATTATCAATAAGAATCCAAGAGAAGGAATCTCTAATAATTGATATAAAAAGCTATCCCAATTATCGAATCCTAAGAATGTTCCATACTCAATGTATCTCGCTATAAAAGGTAAGAATAGTTTAGTTGCAGATGTGATAATTATAAAATATTTAACAGTGGTAGCATGAGCTCCTGCGAAGAGTCCAATTTCTCTAAAAATCAATCTTCCACTGCAGAGCTGCTTGCTTTGATTAGTTTTCTTTATTGCATGTAATGAAAACATCTCATAATCATCATTAAAGGGATCAAAGGATTTGAGTTACTCCTGTTTTAACTTTAATTTTTTCTCATATATTTTCGATTCCTTTTTCAAAGATTCCATTTTAAATTAGTTTCCTTCCTTCTCATAGAAATTTGAATCTGTGAATTTGGCATAAGTAACTGGCAACAATTCTTCAAAAAATTAGAGCTTAAAGTATTCCTCCTCAATTTAATTCCTCCAAAGAACTGCTTCAATCTCTAAATCTAACCCAGCTGGATGAGTATGGATCCAACTAACTACTAGCAAATCTTTAGCTATAAACTCACCTCCTTAAGTTTAATTCTTTAGCAATGCAAACCTCAAATTAGAGCTGTAACCATACCTTACTGCGATAATAAAACTTCTAATAAGTATTTGAAGATTCAAAAATAGGAACTGTTCCAAGTAAATATTCTTCAAGTCAATGTGATAATCAAATGGATGATAATATTTCATAAACATTAAAGTACTCATCGTCAAATGAGCTAGCCATTATCCATTCTAAATGAAAAAGAATCTTGATTAATGAGCATTATATTTCCAAAAGCTCAGATTGTTTGCCAGATGAATTTTATCAAACATCATTATTAGAGGGATTACTCCTTGACCTATGTAGAAGAAAATCAAATGATAAAAGAACAGTCTAGTAAAGTTCCATACATTGAATGCAACGATATATTCGCTAATATTTATAATTCTTTTGAGAAATCCATTTTCTAAAGCCTCTTTTAAGCCTCTCCTATTAGGGGTCACTACATCTTGAATTTAATCAGCTGCACTCTTCTTTTAATAATTATTTTAATCAAGCTAAGTTGATTTTGGAATATTCAAATTTGTTTGAGCTTACTATGCAAATTCTGATAATAGCTTAGATGATTAATTGACTAATCTTTCCCTTATAGATGGTGCATTATTCTCATTCGCAAGTTCAAAGCTCAATTCCTCTAATATGTCATCAATTTTATAGTTATTCCTTGCAAAAGACTCATTAATTATATTACTATCTTAGCTCTCATCATAGTCTTCTTGGATAGGCATTGTTGATTACTTATTCATTTAAATTCTTCTTAAGCTTTTTTACAAACTTGTTTTCATCAAATATCCAGCATCTGAAGTGTCATCAAATTTGCTGCTTGCTAAAGTATTTCTAGTTGAGTATTCCTTTGTCAATTACTTAGTGGATAATTTGTTATTTTATGGAACCTAAAGAGCTTCTGAGATCATAAAATCTGAAAACTTATTAGGAGGTTCTATCTTTATACTCATGTATGTAAGGTTCAGTATAGATTAAATTAGATAAATATAATAAAATTGGAATAAATTATAGTAATATATACAGATACTTTAACTTACTCTATAATTAAGTACTACATTTTTTGATTAAATAATTGCTAATTGACTACATCTTACTATATGACGGGGTTTTGGGGTTTTGGGG